CTCATCCCCTGCTCCAAGCCCCATCCCCTACCTCAAGCTCCCCAGTCCCTTCCTTGAGCCCCTATCCCATTCCTTGAGCCCCCATCCCCTGCTCCAAGCCCCATTCCCTGTCCCAAGCTTCCATCCCCTTCCCTGAGCTCCCTACTCTGAGCCCCCCATCCCTTTCCTTGAGCCCCCATTCCCTGCCCCGTATCCCTATCCCCTGCCCTGAACCTGCTTTCCTGAGCCTCCCATTCCCTCCCCTGAGCCCCCTTCCCTGAATCCCCTATTTGCTGCCCCGGAGCCCCCCATCCCCTGCTCTCCACAATGATTTTGCTGAGCTGCTTCCTGCACCTGCGGCCCCGGCGCTGCAGCCCCTTGGCCGGGCTGGGCAGGGGGCTCGGCCCCGCAGCGGGGTCCCGCAGGGCTCTGCGGGTGCTGGTGGACATGGACGGGGTGCTGGCTGACTTCGAGGGAGGCTTCCTCAAGAAATTCAGGGCCAGGTACCCCGACAAGCCCTACATTGCCCTGGAGGACCGGAGGGGCTTCTGGGTGTCGGAGCAGTACGGGCGCCTGGGACCCGAGCTGAGTGTGAGTTGTGCTTCCCCCAGCTCCATGCATGGGCTTGCTTTGGCCAGAGCTTGGCCCTCAGGGACCCTGTGACCCCCAGGTCATGGGGGCAGCGCTGGGGAGGGCTGTGGGGGCCACCAAAAAGCTCCCATGAAAACACAGGAACACAGGAGGGCTTCCAGCGGTGCATCTTTCCCCAGAAATCCAGCTTTTCTTGTGCACATCTGTGTTTTTCTTAGAATCCTGGAATGGGTTGGGTTGATAAGGACCTTAAAGACCATCTCATTCCAACCCCCTGCCATGGGGAGGGATATCTTCCACTAGACAGGTTGATCAGATGGCCTAGTGGGCTTTTCCTCTGCATGCTTGGACAGAGACAGATGCAAGGAAAGTGGGTATTTCAAAACATCTGTCTTGAAATATCCCAGCTTATGTAGCTGTGTTTTTCTAGCACTAATTTGGCCACATGGATTGCTACCATTCCTAGATGGATTATTTATCTCCCCAAGAGCAATATGAGGGGTGGGATGCAGCAGAGCAGTTCAGAACAAACCATGCAATTGATGCTTCATTTGAGGGCTTACTTAAAATTAAAACAACCTAAGCCCTCCCATGCCAGAAATTACTATATTCAGTTTAATAATTAAAGCTTAAAAGCAGAAGCTGTCTCTGCATTGTAATTTATCATTCAGCAACAGGCTGACTGCTGAAGTGAGTTGTTTTCTGCCTCTACAAGTTTCCCATCCCAGTGGATTTTTGTGGTCTCATCCATGGACTGCAGTTGCACTGGCTGAAATGTGTTATGGCAAATAAAAGTGTTCCTGTTGTTAGGAATATGATGGTTACAGGGAAAGGAGTGGGAATAAGGTCCCACTTTGCCATGGGCAAAGTCCTAAACAACTTGATGAGTTGAAGGAATAAAGTGTTGTTTCTGGCTGGGAATGGTGAAAGGGAAGTGCAGGACATCATTCTTGCAATAAAGCAGCTGCTCAAAGTTTGGCAGGGGTAACACACGATAACCATTTTTTTCTTTCTTGATCTTAACTACTTTGGATGTGTTAAATGAAGTGAGCTCATCTCGTGTCTGCTGTGATCATGTAAAACCACCAAAACCTCAGGCTGAACAAGCAGCAAAACTTGCACAGAATGACCTCAGGGCAGTCCTGGATTTCCCTGTGGTTTCAGGGCAGGGCTAAAGTGAGTGGGTGCTGTGCTATGGCTTCAGTTGAGCCATTCCAGTCTCTGACCAGAGAGCACCACTGACCTGCTTCAGGGACCAGAAAATAGGAGCCAAAGAGTCCAACGAGCTGCAGGTCCCAGCTCTGAAAGGCAGAAAGTTCAGCAATGCACTGAGCACACAGGAAGAATGGAGAGCCCTGGACAGGGAAATTCCTTATGGGGATTGAGGTTCAGTCCTGGCACCTGGTGGGATTCCCAGCCTGGGGGATTTTTCCATCTGCTGGATAACATGCTGGTTGTGGTGCCACAGGGAATTTTTCTGGCTCTGGGAGTGTTCTCTGGGCATTTTCCTCAAGTTGAGCTTAGTTCTTCCCTCCTCAAGCTTGATTGCAAAATGCTTTTTGACATAATTGGAAGTGGGATAGCTGCGGAAGTGCTGCTGTAAGAAAACACTTCAGTGCAGTTTGAAGTGCTCTGCTGCATGAGCCTGCATCTCTCAGGTGTCTCTCGTGCAACTACAGACAACATCTTAAAACATCACTACTCCCCAGTCTGAGGCAGAGCAACTGGAGTTTGAATGTTTGAATGTGGCAAACTTTTACGCGGGTTGTTCTTGCCATGGAGCCTGGAGGCATTTCTGCATCTGCAGCTCCTCAGCTGCATCACAACTCTGGGGCTGGGCTGCTTCTGCTTCTTCCCAACTCTCCTCCCCTAGGACATGGTGTTTGTGCAAAATAATTACTTTCCTTGGCACCTGACAAGCTGTTAACTTGTTTGAGGCAGAGCAGGGGCTGCTATTCCTTAGAGCTGTGCTGGACCCATTGCAGGCATCTCCTGGACTCTGCTCTCACCCCAGGGTTTTGCTCCCTGTGGTCTCCTCTCTGTTCTCCCTGTACCATACCAGTGTGCCCAGGCTGCTGTCCTGGATGCTGTGTTTCAAATCCTTGCCTGGAGATACTCTATTTGCCTGCTAGTCCTTGTCCAGGCATCCCTGAGGAAGAGCATCTGCATTCATTGTGACATGTGGTTCATCCTGTAATGTACTTTCCCCTGGGAGAGCAGCCTGGCTGCTATTTTAAGTGATCTCATGGAGACAAATAGGCCAGACAGTATCTGTGCCTGAACAGCATCATGGTAGAGCAGGGCCACTAGGCCACGTTAGCTGGATCCACATGGATCCATCCCTTTGGATTGGTTTGCTTTGGATCTGGATAATCTCTGGTGTTTGGCCTCACAGGAACGTGCTGCTCCGTGTCTGGGGCTGCAGAAGCAAAACCGAGCCTGTTCCAGAGCATCTCCAATCTGAATTGTATGGGCTGGGTGCAGGTTGCCAGGTGGGGAGCAGAGGCACCCACAGAGACAAGGGGGGTGAGCAGGAGGGGACCAGATCTGGTGCTCCCACTGTTCTCCCTGACCCATCCTCTGTCCTAGCAAAGGGTGAGGAGAATGCACACGCAGGAAAAATTGCAAGAAGTGCAGTAACTGCTTGCTTTTCCTCACAGGAGAAAGCCATCAGCATCTGGGAATCCAAAAACTTCTTCATTGAGCTGGACCCTCTCCCTGGGGCTGTGGAAGCTGTGAAGCAAATGGCAAATTTGGCAGAGTGAGTATGAACCTGCCCATGGTGTGTGGGGATGGACAGAGGAGCAGCTGCGGCTTCACATCCACCTCTTGGCAGAAGTGCTGGTACAATAACAGCATTAAAAATAAATATCTCCTAGCCATCAGGGAAGGGAGGGGAGAAAGGGAGCAGTCACCTAGAACATTTTTGCGTCAGCTCTCTGCTTCCAGCAAAGGCTGTGAAAAGGCGAACACGATTGTGCTGTGGGATTTTGTGAGATGGGGGATTAATGTCTTAAATCTGTTTGATCTTTGTGTGGTGGGGGGTTGGCTCTGGGCTGCTGCCTGCTCTGGCCCAGAATGACACTCTGGCCCTGTTTTTCTCCTCGTGGCAGCACTGACGTGTTCATCTGCACGAGCCCGATCAAGAAGTACCGGTACTGCCCTTATGAGAAGGTGAGCAGGCCCAAATCTCAGCTCCCCCTCCCATCCACGCTGCCCAGTGGAAGGTGTCTGACTCCTGGCTGTAAAATTTACCTGTTCCATCCATTTGCATGCACTGAGGCTCTTGGTCTTAGTCTTTCATCATGACATCAAAAGCTGCTTGGCTTTCAAAGAACTTTTACTCCAGCAGCATCCAAATCCATCCCACTAATGAACTTATTAAGAGAGATATCCTCCTTGTGTGTGGGCCAGGGCTGCTTCCACTCCACCAAGCACCCTCTGCCCCATCCAGCAGCCTTCCCTGAGCTCACCAGCCATCTCTTGCCTTCCAGTATGCCTGGGTGGAGAAGCACTTCGGCCCCGAATTTCTTGAGCAGATTGTTTTGACACGAGATAAGACGGTGGTTTCTGCTGATCTGCTTATAGATGACAGACCTGATATAACAGGTAAGAGCTGAGGGGTGAAGGAGGCAGCCAGGGATGGGTGTTGGTCTTTCCGTGCTGTTTGGGTTTTGTAACTTTGGGGTCTTCATGTTGGGGTAAAATCAACTTCAGTGTCTCAGAGTTCTCCAGACCACTGACCTTCTTTCCTTTGCAGGGGCAGAGCAGAACCCCACCTGGGAGCATGTGCTCTTCACTGCCTGCCACAACAAGCACCTGCAGCTGAAGCCCCCCAGCCGCCGGCTGCACTCCTGGTCTGATGACTGGAAGGCCATTCTGGACAGCAAACGCCTCCCACCTGGCCAGGCCACCTAAACACCAGCCCCCACGGCCACCCAGGGCTGCAGCCACCTGCCTGTGTCCGTGTGGAGTCCTGCTGAAGGCCAGAAACACAGATGGACAGACAGACAGATGCTGTCTCTGCTGCAGAGAGGAGGAGGAGGGTGAGCTGAAGCACCAGAGTCACCTGGACTTGAAAAACAGATCCCAGCCCATCCCTGCCACAAGAGAGCAACAGCAGGATTGTGCCTGTGGAGCTGACAGCCTGGCTGGAGGGCATTTCCCACTGGCTCCTGGGGTCTTTGTGCTGCATCTGCACCTCCCACAGGGCCAGCCCAGCGTTTCTGATGGACAAGGTCACCCTCAGCGTGTCACTGCCCTTGCCTGGGTGCACTGCATGGCACAGATCAGCTCTCCATCCTCCCTCTGCATCATGGTCAGGGATCATGTGTGTGGTTTGTTTAGTCCTTGCAAGGCTTCATTCCAAGGATCTGCCTCAGGAGGTCCTTCCCACTGGCAGGGCCTGGATCTGGGGAGAGGGGTGGCTGGAAGGGCAGGGAGAGCAGGCAGGTGCTGTCCAGGCTCCCTGTGCTGGGGTTTTGTTGGTGGAGGATTGTCACAAACACATCCATGGGTGCTGTCTGCAGTTCTCACATACTGCAAGGAAAGATGTTAGGGGGATGTTGCTACTAAAGGCTTGGGGAGCTGGTTTCAGCCAGGGTAGAGTTAATTTTCTTCACACAAAATATAGCACCATACAAGCCACTGTGAAAAAAATCAACTCTACCCTGGCCAAAAGCAGCATGGCAGCCCATGAGAGGTGCCCACGAGCTGCATCACAGGGTAGTTCTGCAGCTCCACCATGGTCCTAGCCCTGGATGTCTGGCGACAGAGTGTGCTTCCAGCCCCATTGCCCTGGCTCTGGGCCCCTGCAGAGAGGCAAAGCCCCAGGGATGAGCTGGGTGTTTCACTGCTGACACCATAGAAGCTATCATACCCTGCTGCTGCGTGTCCCCACGCTGTTCAGGATCCCACTGCCCTCCTGGCACAAGGACTTGCTGGCTGCAGCAGTAAAATTCTGCACTTGGACACATAGCCCCACAGGCAGGGGTGGCAGCCAGGGTTTGCTGCACTCCATACTCACACCTGTGCTTTGCCTCTCCCCTCTCCTGTGAGCCCCCATCAACAAAAGTACATGAATGTAAAGCTACACAACCAACAAATAATGGAATTCATCAGAGGCAGCCAGACCCCTCCTGTATCCAGGACCAGAGAGGTTCTGAAGTTGGTGATTTGGAACTTGTGCCTTCCCTGGGTGTTGCAGGGCCAGGGATGGGGCCTGTGTCAGCTTGGGGCTTGCCCTGTTTCTTGGGATGGGAATTTACAAAGTCAGCATGGTTGATCCAAGGCAGTGGCACTTACATACCACAAGCATGCTTTTTTCTTTCTATTTTTTTTTCATTTTTCTTTCCTGTTTAAACCACTGTGTGCTGCTCTGGGTGGTAGGTTTGGTTTGGAGGGGTCTATTTGGGACGTCCAGCTGCCTGAGGTGCAGCCTTCTGGCCAAGAGCTGCCTTGGCTGGAGGGTTTGCAGGCTGGGAACTGGGACAGTGTGGGAGCACCATGGGCAGCTGCTGCAGCTGCTGGATATCAGGAACCCCTTGGCTCCACCAGACCTCCACCGGCTGTTGGCCCCTCTGTGTAGCCAGGGTGACTTCATGGGGTCCAAGCTGATTTTTTTCTAATGGTATCATGTAAATATGAGCTGCCCAAGCTCCCCAGAGCCTACTCCCTGCTCATTGAGCCAAAACAAGCTGGCACTTTGCTCCAGCAGCTGCCCCATCCTGTCATCTTCCCCCAAGGCTGGGGCAGACCCAAGGGATGTGGCTCTCTGGGGCCAGCAGGGTTTTTCCCTGTGGTGAGATGTGATGCCAGAGAGACCGTGTGGCTTCACACCAACTATACTTGAAAGCAGAGCTGGAGTTTCTCATGCCTGAGGCTCCAACTCCATGCACAGAGATCCTGAGATGGTAGCTGGACTCTTTGCTCCCACACTCGGGACCGGGAAGTGATCGGCTCATTTGTTGTTCAAGCCTGTCTGTGTCCAGCTGAGATACACAGAGCTTTTATTTTTGAATGTACATCTAATAAACCCGAGGCAAATGAGGAGCACTGCAATAAACACTGGGTTGTTTGGCATCCAGCTGCCTAGAAATGGAGTTTGGAGTTTCCCAGCTGTGGCTCTGTGTGGGGGTAGGGGAGTTTCACCTCCAGTTTTGGGAATGTCACCTTGTCCAGAAAACCTGGAACCAGCCCTGCTGCCCTGGCAGTGCCATCACCCTGTGGGCAGAAATAAAGCCAAGGGGTGGTTCTGGGTAGAGTTCCTCTTCCTAAAGATCTTTTATAATAAATAAAGCTGTGAAGTCTATGTTCTGTTGGACCACAGAGCAGAAGCTATAAAAAGGGCTGGGGCTGTCAAGGGCTGGCTCTCTGTGGAATTTTATTCCTTTTCCATCACTGCTGGCTGCTCCACATCCACACACCCAGGTTGTGAGGTGTCTGTGGACTCCCCTGCCCGCTGTGGGGCTGTGCCATGAGAATCCCTGTGCATGACCAGAAATTGCATGCTGTGAGCAATGCCATAGCCCAGTTGGACACATGGGACCAGAGCCAGGGAGGGAGGACTGTGGAACCATCCCAGTAGGGCTGGGAAAATCAGAATCACAGGACAGAACCTGACTGTGCTCCTTGTACTGGTGTGGCTCCAGGACATGACACAAAGTGTTACCAGGATCACATCTGTGAGCTGGAGGTGTAGTCCTGCTGGAGCTGGGACACCAAGGGGCTCCTGGCCAGCACGGAGACAAGGTGATTCAGCTGCCAGCTCAAACAGCACCACCTGCACTGGGTGCACACCTCCCCAGGACGCTGCTGTGGGGCCCATAAAGCTGTTCCAGGGCTGGTTTAGCAACGAGCACCTCTGCCCTTCCAGCTGCTTTTTGGGGCTTCCCAGCAGCAAGTGTTGGGCCACAGCTCCTCCTCCATCCCCACTACCCTCACTCTGCCCTGGAGGTCCCAGCTCCCCAGAGGAGACACCGTCCTTCCTTGGCCCAGGGATGGAGGCAGAGGGTTTGACATCAGCTCTGCCCTGAGCTGGGGCTGCTGGATGGTGGCACTGGGACCAGGGTCACAATTCCAGTAGAAGATGGGGTGAGTTGGAGGGGTGGAATCCTGATGGAGCATGATGAACTCCAGGTTTACAGCTGTGTCTGTTCTTCCACGCTTTCCTCTATGTTTTTTTCATTTTCCCTTGAAAAGCCTCAGATTGCAGATATCACACAGATTCCAGGTGATAACCAGTTTCCAAAGCAGTCAGAGGCAGAGAGGAGAGGTAAGGAGATGGTAGTGCTCTGGCCCTAAGCACAGGGCAGTGCTCAAAGCTGGTGCTGGTGGGAAACTTTGCACCCTTCCCATGGGCAGGAGCTGCTGGACAAATGTGCAAACACCCACCCCCCTCAGGGCAGTCCCACCTGAAAGCATCCCACTTCTCCCCAGCCCAAGCTGGACCAAGGTAGCAGGCCCTGGCAGCGAGGGATGCTCGCCCCTGGATCCTCCCCTGGATCCTCGGAAGCAGTCAGCAGTCGCCACGCGGGTGCTCATTAGCTCGTTCTCACGTTGGCCACTGCCCAAATAACTGCGAGCGGTGTGAAATCCCAGCGGAGGGGAGAGCCAGGAATGCAGGGGCCAAGCGGGGCCAGCCCTGACGCAAGGGCAGCGGGTGGTGAGGGACAAAGGCAGGGCAGGGGACGGGGCGAGGGAGGATGAATCACACAAATACGCAGGAAGGGAAGGAGCGGAGGAAGCCATGGAGCAGCTGGAGGCAGCTGGATGGGGCTTTGCTCCTGCCACCGTGCCCACATTGAGGAGAGAAGCAGGACGGTGCCTCAGGGTCACTGCCGGTGCCAGGCTTTGGAGCCCGGTGGTGCCAGCGCAGTGTGGGCAGAGCATCCGTGTGGATGGAAGAGGAATATCCACTAGAGGGGACTGTGTGATCGCGTGTGGGAGCTGCCAGCCAGCGCTCAGCACAGCCCTCCTTCCAGCCCAGTTATCCCAGCCCAGGCTCCAATGCCCTCTGCATCGCTCCCGCCCGAGGCAGATCACCGGGACCAGCCAATGCACCAGGGGGTACCGAGGGGCAGCTGCAGGAGCCAGGAAAATCAGAGAATCGTGGAATGGTTTGGGCTGGAAGGGATCTTAAAAGCCACCATCTCATTGGAACCCACTGCCATGGGTAGGGACACCTTCAACTATTCCAGGTTGCTCCAAGAGCCATCCAACCTGGCCTTGGATATTTCTAAGGAGGGGGAATTGTGCTGGGATGGCACCTACCAGTTGCTGAGCCTCCCCCCAACCACTTGCTCTCTCTCCAGCTGGATGGGACAGAGAATGGAATGGGCAAAAACATGAACAACTTGTGGGTTAGAAGATGAACTAGGCAACCTATAGGGTCTGTATAGAAAATATCCATGGAAAAATCACAGGCTGAAGGCCCCTGACAGCCCAGGGCATCTCTCCTTTCCCTGCTTGGCTCTGGCCTGCTTCCCCCTGGGACCCTACAGCTCTCCCAGGGCTGAGATTGCTCATCCTGCCCCTGAAAGCCTGAAATCCCCAAAAGAGCTGGAACATGACTTTGCCTCTTCCTTTTGCTCACCCTGAAGCTGGAGCCCATTTTGGGGGCAGATCTCCCTGTGGGGAGGACAGGGGGACTGGGGTGGTTCCTGATGGGTTTTGCTTGCCCTTCCATTCTCCCCCAACACCATGATATTATTTCACTCCTGGCTGGATTAATGGGATTTGCTTCTCCATTTGTGCACAGGGACTTGAGTAATGCACTCCCCAGAGAGAAATCAACTTCCCTTGCCCCAGCAGTGCTGGGGAGGCCAGACAAGAGCCCACATGATAGGCTCACTGGCTTTCTCCTGTCCTTCAAGGCTCCACACACATTAAGCCTGTCCTCTTGGCAACAATCTTGCAAAATGTTTATTTGTGACTATGTTAACAAACATGCTTGGGGAACATGTTGTATTCAGACGTGAGCATGCCACCTTCTCCCTGCCTCTCTGGGCCAGGACTGTGGGTAGTGAGGGGCCAGGGCTCAGAGCTGCCAAAATCCAGCTGACTCTGCACTCAGAGCACCGCCGGGACCAGCAACCCCGAGCACGAGGCCACCTCGCCTGCTGTTCCCACCAACCACCAAACCTGCCAGCAACATCCCACCAATGCCTTTTTCCTGGAGGTTCCCAGCTCATGGCTTTTTCCTGGAGGTCCCCAGCTCATGGATGCAGCTGGGGGAAGGGTCTGACCACGACCTCATAGAACCCTGGTGTCCTGCAGCCAGAGGGACATGGACACAAGGGCTCCAGGGATCCTGTCCAGCTCTGTAAACACCCGTCATAGGGGAGGGCACTGGTGTCAGGCCACACCATGGGCAGAGACCAGTGGAGCTGAGCTTGCACACCCCACAGCCTCCCTGAGCTCATCCCTATCCCTCACCTGTCCACTTCTCCTCAGCTGGTGGGTGCCAGCAATGATCCTGGGAGGAAGGTACCCTGGAGAAACGGTGCTGCTCCTCTCCCAGAACAGACTCACCCTGAACACATGTTATTTTAAACTCTAACTTGCCAGATTTGAGGTGAACTTGCTTTGGCTGTGTCTGGGTCCAATACCCCATGTCCCTGAATCTGCTTTCAGCATCTCCAGGTAACCAGGGCTGGAGCTGGGTCTGTTTTGCTGAGATCCAGGGGAGGGAGATGAACAGCAATTACTGAAGGGCTGTAGTTCAGGTACTGGGTGAGAGCACTTGAGGGTCTATGGAGCTGTAATCAAGCCTGTGAGCCTCTGTGTGCCCATGGCATTTTTCCTTTGTGCCATCCCAGTGGGAACATCAGCAGGGCAGCACCTGTGCTGCCTTCACATCCATCTCATGAGTCACCCTGGGGATGGCTTCAAGACACCAGAGGGCTCAGGGAAAATCCCAAAAGAGCTGGGAGATACAATGGCAGCAGCTGTGGGGGCTGGGAGTTGGCTTCTGTTTAGTAAAAGTGAGGCAAGAGGGCCCTGCTGCCAGTGCCAGGGAAATGTGTGAGGATGAGGAGCAGCTCCTGCTGGGCTGAGCCCTTCCCAGGAGAAGGGATGGGAAAGGCAGGGAATTGGTGCTGCAGAGCACCTGAACACCACACTGGTGTGTTCCTGTGTGTGAGCCCAGGTAAGGCTCGATGCTGTCACCAGGATTGGAGCTGGATGGTCTTTAATGTTCCAACCTAGAGCATTTCATGGTATCACTGCTGAAGGCAGCATCCAGGTGTGGGCAGCAGCCAGTCCCAGCTCTCAGCCAGCTCCCCATCTCGGTGGGACTGGGATTCCTGGTGTCTGTGTTACCCTTTCTGTGCCCACCTGCACAAGGCTTTTGGCCGGGCACCAGCTGGGAACCCCCTGGCTCAATGCCCCAGCCCTGCTCCCTTCCCTCTCCCAGTCACAGCCATGCCAGGTAATGACTCCATGAGCCCCGAGGAACAATCTCTGAAGCTTTCCAGGTGTTATCACCCCTCCTCTTGCAGGCATCTCCTTTGCTCTCAGTCCCAGACCCTCTGGCTCTCACAGCCTCTGGAAAAGCAAACTCATGCCTTGGGTGCCTGTTTTATAACAGATTTTCCTTTTCCAGTCTAGCAGAGCAGTCTCACAGCTGTGCTTCCTGCTTATGCATCTTGTGCACATCCTTTTTTATCCCAGGGAAAGTGCTCCTGGGTGGCTCCTGGGGGATAGGCACAGATGCCAGTGGCAGCCTCAGCCACTCTCAGAGCACAGGGGATGTTTTGGGACTGATTCCCTACACTAGGGCCAGTTTATTCTCTGCAGGACATACCAGTCTGCAAGGAAACATGCCTGACTATAAATGTCACTGGCATCTCCTCACTCCAAAACTGATCTCTGGGTTACCCATGACTGTTCAGATTATGAAAATGGAGGCACAGAATATTTTCTAGTTCCTTCCTGTATAGTGTGGCTGGGACTACCCACACCTAAGGGATACAGGAAAACAGGGAGCTGAGTGTCCCACCCTGCCTGGCATGGGCAGAGCCCAGCTTTCTAATGGGAATTCATAAAAAGAGACCACAAGGAGTCCACAAAAAAAAGGGCAAGGCTTCATTTCTCCTCTTCC